TGGAAAAAAATTCGCGAGCGCTACCGCATGGGGGGCCTTACCCCTGGAAAAAAAAATTCGCGAGCGCTACCGCAGGGGGGGCCTTCCACCCTTGGAAAAAAATCGTGAGCGCTATTACTGCGGGGGCTGGGGCTGGGGCCCGGGCTATGGGAGAGGGACGGGATGGGCGGCGGCCTTGGGAGAGGGATGGGCGGCCTGATGTGGGGTGTACAGACAAACCATGCATCAAAAAAGCATCACCCATGCTACCATGGGGGGCATGGGGGAGCGCTATCACCTTGCCTTGAAAGAAAAAGAAAAGCGTGCCATCCATGTGCAAAGCACCATGCCAGACATCTCGTTAAATTTCAGCAGTTCTGTGTGGTGTGGGAGACGGAAGAGAGGCTATGAGAGGAGGGCGGGGGTGGGGGGCGGGGGTGGTAAAAAGGAAGGTCAGAGACAGAGACAATGGAGTGGGGTGGAGATGGGGACACAAAGGGGGGAGGTGGAAACGGCGGCGGCCGGCGACACAACGCAGGGAGTGTGGGGGGAGCAGTGTGGCAGCACATCGCATGGGATCAGGATTAATTGATGGAACCGAGTGAGGGAGTGATGGGATGGAATGGATAAGAAAGAACTCGTGACTAACTAATGTTTAATTCAGAATGATATTTATTCAGAAAGGATCAACTTAGACTTGTGCAACGAGCAAACGAGAGGATACGTTGAAATATTATATTATTGGTGCTGAGAGATGAGTTATATCAGTGTTGAGAGATATCCTTATTAATGTAAAACCTAATATCTGTTGTGTCTGTGGTGTTTCGATGTTTCGATGTTAGGAAACCGCAACAAACCACAAGCAACTGTGGAGGAGCCGGGCCAGTTTTTGGTTCGAAGCCGAGCACGAAGGATGCGCCTGCTGTCAAAGAGCTGAAGGCAACATATGGACTGAAACTGTTTGGTCGATGTATGCAGATTTTGGACAATGTCGACGGTTGGCAGCTGTCATCGCCCTGCTGCATGCCGGGCCACAAGGTGATGAATCCATGAATAAAGCTTGAAACCACATTGCATGTTTGTGTTTGTTGTGTGTTGAACGATTCTTTTGTACCTTGGAATTGAGCATTCGGGACAGGATTGCAAGACGCCACTTGGACACATGCGAGAGTTGCAAGAGAAGAGTGCTGCTGATGGCACTCCTCTACCGATTATCGTGTATGCTGCTGGAACTGTGTGTACGGATGTGAGTGTGATCGGCTGCTGGGTCTGTGTTGAGTATAATGGATATATTTTGTAGAATTGGTAGAATTATAGAAGGCTAGCACTAGCATGATATTGTGTTTAAGCCGAAGCAGCAACGGATACCAGGAACCCAGATGGGGCTGCTTGGAAATAGCAGTCGATCTTTGGCAATTTGGGTGACAGAGGTGAAACTCGTCAAACCAGATATCATATTCCACGAGTGCACGGTCAAATTCAATTCGGAGTTGCTCTGGCAACACCTTGACGATTATGACATCATGCATATGAAGCTCAGTCCTGTCGATTTCGGTTGGCCGGCCAAGCGACCAAGGCGGGTTTGTTGTGAGAAGATGGCAGGTGACAGGTCATGGTATCGTTCATATGTTTACACACAAGGTGTTGTGGGCCAGGGTATTCATGCCTTATCTTAAAGTCCTGGCCAGCCATTTCTGCGAGGCTGTTCGCGGTGATGTTACGCAAAGAGACGGTATCGATCAATGGTGGGTCCGAAAACTTGCTGAAGATGTTGCGAACTTTGATGATGCAGCCGACCGCGGATGTGAGCATCTTCTACTGTGCCCCACAGGACAGCAGTTAGGCATTGTCGAGACATCTGGTCTCTCGTCGATCTGAACTCTTTGTAGTCGAAGTCTGCTGTTTGCTGTGCGTGTGCTTGCGCGCAGGCAAGTATCGATGCCCATCGTGCTGCCGGAGCCTCCAAACGGTCGATGCCGAGCAAGAGTCCATTCAATGACTTGCTTGGAGGCAAGGTCGGGAACCCAATTCTGTTGAGCAAAGTGAGCCCGGGCCTGGGCACCAGGAGCCAAGCAGACGTGGTTGGATTGCTACAGGAACATGAAGAAGGTCCGTCAGATTGCGTTGAAAGGCCTGAGAGTTGTTCAACTTGATTTCATGCCTAGGCCTAGGTATTGTCGCAAGAACATGCCAAGTCAACTCTGCCAGGCTCGCGCCATGTGGTGTGCAATTTGTCACAGAACCCACGTGTTATTCCGATTGTGTCGGACAAGATGCCGACCCTATTGCGCACGGCTTCAAACATGTGGCTCATGAACTTGTCTACGCATGACCCACGATCGCCGACGACCAGCAACGATGCTCTTGAAGACATTGAGGAGCGACAGTTGCTTCCCGATGAAGCATTGGCATTGATGGGGATACCTGTGTACCCGGAGCTTGCAGCTTCAGGGAACTTCTTTCGGTTCCCGCATAGCGAGCTGCTTCATAAGTTCTCAGACACGGCCAAACACGAGCTGGCTGGTAACGATTCTTGACTGACACTACTACAACGATATAGTTGGCATGCTAAACTTCAAGCTTCAAGTTATTAGTGTCATGAGTCATAATGTTTTCTCTTTGGCTTGGCTTGGTGATTTGTCAGGCAATGCACGTTGGCGTCATTGGTGCCATTGGGGCGTGCATCTTGACATCTGTTCGACTTCATCCACAGCCGCAGCGTGATCGAGTGCCTGATACTGATGAGTCAATGATGAGGGGCCCTGAGGCCCTGAGGGCCGAGGGTCAGGTCTTGGCGTGAATATGGATTGATATGCTACTCGGATGAACGAACAACGCTTACACCTACCATATGCTTACACCCTCGATCCTGATGATTTTCTGTTTGACAGTCCAGGCCAATCATATGCTGGCCGATGCGGATCCTTCGCCTTCGCCTTCAAGTGATCTCGCCATGCAATTGCTTCTTTGCCCAGGCCAGATGATGTATGTCTATGATATCAGTGACCGACTCATGTGTGCTCATCCAGCGTGTCGTGTGGAATGCATTCTTGTCCGATTTGCAGCTATTGTAATTGTAAATTGTTGATTCTCACTACTCACTCTCCATAAAGTCACCCCACCATTTTGCAGCGTGCAGGCACAAAAATATCAAGCATTATTGTGCTACGAAGGTGTAGGTAATTCTATAGCATGGGAATCGGGATGGCATCTACATTCTAGCACTGTATAAGCCTACGCAATGCCTTATTTCCGTGTGTATCGGCTGTGTGGACTATCCTGCAAAGCAGGGCTGGAATGGGCCGGAATATTGGCCTTATCAGATGAGATCGTGGGATTGCTCCACGCAGAAGAAAGAGTGTGCTTGCACATCACGAATCTCACGAATCACTGATCACTAGTCAGTCACTATTTATGTTCCACGTTAAGTGACAGGGTCAATGTCAGTGAGACACCCCATTAATGATTGCATGATATCTTCTGTTTTGTCGGTTGTTGTTTGAGTTTGGCCACTGAATCGACATGTAGACTTGCAGGCTTTGGTCGCATGATATGATATAGGCACATGATGGATCTGGCGAACTGTCAGGCCATGCGGTTTTGTTTCCAGCAGCTGGGTGGCTGGGAGTCGGCTGAGAGTCTTCGATCGCACGGCAAGACAGCTCTGTGATCACAAATACAGGTCTGTGAGGGCATTGCTTCAACATTGTATGTGCATTTGCACAGGTTTCATGTAGGGAACTCGCTGTTCTTCGGACATGTCAGAGCCAGTGCTTCAGTCATTTGCAAGTCATCATGTGCGGCCAACTATTCACACGATGGCAGAGCTGTTCTCTTTCAACTTGCGATTTGCGATTGAGTCTTGACCAAGTGCCACGTTAGTCCAGCAGCGGGCCCGTCCTAGTCCTCGCCCCGGACGCCATGGTGCTCAACGATGAGGACTTGTCCGACTCCGAGGCTTGGCCACCAATACATGTGACATGAGTCGTACTCAGGTCAGTCTGTGGAGCATTCAATCCAAGTCCAATGAACAACCATGTCCGATAAGGTAGCAGAAGACGTGCGACGGCTGACCAGACAGTTTGAGCAAAAGTTCATCAATGAGGACTATTCCGATTCCGAAGCTTGGCCACCAATACATGTGACATTAATCGTACTCGGGTCGGTCTGTGGAACATTCAATCCAAGTCTAAGTCCAATGAACAACCATGTCCGATAAGGTGGCAGAGGACGTGCGACGGCTGACCAGAAAGTTCGAGCAACAGCTCAACGATCAGGACTTGTCCGATTCCGAAGCTGGGCCATCGATATATGTGACATTAGTCGTACTCGTGACTCGTGTCAGCCTGTGGAACATTCAATCCAAATCCAATGAACAACCTTGTCCGATAAGGTAACCGAGGACGTGGGACGGCTGGCCAAAAAGTTCCAGCAAGAGCTCTCCACATCCGCTACTGGGACCACTGGGGTGTGCAGTTCGAGTTCGGGCACACATGAATTCCGGAAATGCCACCTGAAGAGGCAAAATGCTAGGTTTTTCTAGTCTCGTTCGTTATATGTGTACAGACTTAGGCTGCATGGCAACAAAGCCGGTTAGCTGGTTTCATTTATGTCAATCCACACGAGCAGGCTTACCTGCTCTTGTCTTGCAATTCCAACCGCGCAGACTCCACACGGATGCACATCGGAGAGAAAACCATGTATATACCAGGTCCGAGTAGAACTAGTCACCACGAGCCACCGTTGCACCACACTAAACACCCCACTGAGCATTGATCATACAATATATCAGTGATATCCAGAGAGCCCACAGCCACACAAGTATGCCGGTGCCGTTACCACGGCGTCGCTGCATGTCCTGTGTTTGATGATTTTGCAGGCTACGCAGCATTGTGCCACCTCCGTCCCTGAAATGCTAGAGTGCCATGCAAGATCAGCTGAAAACATGCAAGTCTTTGATCAGATAGTGTTGCGGTGTTGCGGTGCATTCGATCAAAGTTGGTTTGTCGCAGCCTGTCGCCATGGCCTTGCGTGGTCGTGTTGACGAAGCCACCCATGCCGAGATCGCAAAATACATGGACGAAGAAGTGGATGGATATGCTGATATTATTTACGACAACCCCGAGGTGGCCATTGAGGACACGGAAGACAATGAGCTGTTCGAAAGAAACGGAGAGTTGTTTCTCCTCAAGCGCTTCGGCAATTTCTCTGTCGAGTGGCCAGTCTCGGGGTGTGGGCAAGGCTCCATCTTCATGAACTCCGAAGGCTTGCAGCTTCCTCTGCTATGGATCGACAAGGATGGCTATGCTTACACGTTCAAACCGGGCGAGGCTGACACTGACAAGCCTGGCGAGATTGAGAAGCCTGGCGACGGCGAGGCTGACAAGCCCAAGTCCGGCTGAGAAAGTTGCTTGAATCAAACTTGCAGCCAAACTCCAATCAACCCGAGCATTTGTTGCATCACATTTTGTCGACCACCTAGGTTTTGATTCCGTGCTCGGTTTCTGCTGCAGTACAATTTTGGTTTCTTCGCAAGGTCAGTGGCTCAGTGACTTTGTGAGCACTGTTTAGTTCTGTTGCAGCTGAGAGATCGGTCAGTATGCAAAAAGAACGTGTTGTCAGGAACGCACTTGGTATCTGTGGCACCTGGGCCTTCGCTCCCATGTGGAATGGCAGCTCTGGCAGCTCGGCTGGAATCTCGACATGTCGTCTCGTGTGTCTCAATCGCAACTTGAGCTTATTGCATGTTGGCTAACGAGGTATCTGAGATTTTGGATCGGGCTACAACGATATGTGGCAGTCTATATATGTACGTATGTATCCGGTGCGACGTCATTCGATCTGTGCCTTGGCAATTGATGGGACTCCCTAAACCCTAAACCCTAAACCCTAAACCCTAAACCCTAAACCCAAACCCTAAACCAGGTTTCGAAGGCGGCGGCCATCCGGGAATCCGGGAACCTGAGTCACCTGAGTGGCACGCGATCTCATCCTTTACCGATCTTGGTGCGCGAGATATGCGAGATGTGCTGCGTTGCATTATGTCACTTCACATTTTGTTTTCTCTCTTTGTCTCTCTCAGTCTCTCAGTCTCTTTCTGGCTCTCTTTTCTCTCGAGTAAAGTCGTGGGCGGGCGGCGGGTGACGATGCGACAGTGGGTGGTGTCGGCGTTTACCTCGCTGTGGTCACGGTCCCGAGTCTCGAGTCCCGAGCCCCATTGATTTCCCAGTGATCAGTGATCTGTGTGCGAGTCTGCGAGATGTGCAGTGCAGCTATGTATGCAAATCGGAGCCTTTTTTCGATTTCTGGTGTGACTCAACGGTACACCATGCACCCCTGACTTTGTCCCTGGCCATTGACGGCCAGCCGGCCAGCTGGCGGCCTTTCGGCCGCTTTGGCCCATGGATCTGGATGAGAATGATGAGGATAAGGGCAAGGACGGTGAGAAAGCGACGGAAGCAGATGCAATCCAGCAACCGCCGCCACCACCCCCAGGCCAGCTGACAATCCAGAGTCCAGAGTGTCAGATTTCCCATATGTGAATGTGGAGTTGACAGGACATGATCCGAATCCTCAGCCTCCGAATGCCGGTGTATCTCAGCAAGGAGGCCCATTACCAGCCCGGTCGTTTCAACATCCTGTGTCCAGCCTGTCCAGCAGTCTAGCAGTGTGGCTGTTTGTGTTTCTTGCCGGGCTATTCCAGGCCCTTTGACTTTGACAACGCAGTGGGCGCACTGCGCTGAATGCGGCACGAAGACTCAGTACAGACCACGTGCGATGCTGTGCTCGATTTACTGGTGTGGTGGTACACTGATAAGTCACTCATGTGGCCGGAGGCCGTAACTCGTAACCGTAGCGATTGCAGAGGATCACTCAGCTGTGCGTCGATGCACTGGCTGCGCGTGGACGCCTTCATGAGCAAGCGCGTGCTGCAGGCTCAGGCAAACTGGCCACCCTGGAAGATATGGAGGTGAAAAATCAGCCTCGATATATCGGTTTTCTGAAGCAGTTCATGGTCACATGTCCCCCACCGGGGCGCGGAAAACCCTCCAACAAGTTCGATTTCGCGGTGTTGGACTACGAGGAAGCGGCTGGCGTGCGAACATCCGACATCCACGAATTAATGGAGTTGTGCGAAGAGGACTTCATCACCTACTTCAGCAAAACTGCCCCCGCCTACCAGCGTGACTTAGCTGAGCTTAGCCGTACAAAGCTGGTCGACTTGTAGACTTGTAAACTTGTAGACTATATCGACTATTGACTCTCCACGATCGACGTTAGACTCTCAATTATTCGATTATCGTCGGAAGAAATCATATAATCATATACTGAGTAGTGAGCGATCGGCGAGAGTGTGCAGTGCAGTGGGGCCGTCCGGCGAGGGACAATGTTGTTTGAGTCGAGTCGGTTTGCCTGTCTGAGGTTTGACAGAACAGGGCGCCCAGATCAAATGGAAGAACGACTTCAAGGAGAAAAAATACCACCGAGAACAACGTGATGTTCTGGACGAGTATGGGCGAGAGTCTGGGAAGCAGGCCTGCAGTGTCCTGTTGGAGTTGGAGTTGGGGTGTAACAGTTTTCATTTGGCAGGATGTCACGGATTTTCCTTGGTTGCATATGCCTTTTTGGTAAGCCTTTGGTTTCATAAAAGGTGAAACAATGAGGTCACTCTGAAGTCTGAAGTCTTTTTTCTTAGTAGATATCCTTCCGGCTGGGCGATTACAGTTAGCAAGGCTGCGGCTCCAGGAGTCCAGGAGCCCAGGACAGGATTTGAGTGGTTTTCGGGCTTGAACAACTATATGGCTTAGGTTGGGGGTTGGAGACTGGAGGGTTTACGGGTCCCCATCCTGGCAACGAGGAGAGCTTCAGGATTTCTGTAGGTTTTCGAAACTTTATCACTCTAGACCTTGAACCCTAAAACCCCCGAAGCCATGCACCCTATCCACGGTACGTGTAACCAATCACCAGAGATCAAGATCTTATGTCGCAGGTATGGGTGATGTTTGTTCCGGTACCAAAGAAAATCCAGAGCGAAGAGTACAAGGACATATGCGCTCTCCTCCTGTGTATGTGTAAGCTCTTTGCCACATTGCCAATTGCCATTTTGTTGCCTGACAGGACGCAGCTCACAAGCTGCGAGCCCAGCAAGAGATGGTGAAGGCCCCCTCGGATGCGGCTCTAGACAAGTTGCGGGAGAAGAAGGCTGACGCTGTGAAGACCCTGATGGATGACCCAACTGAGTTTGGGTTTGAAAGTTCGAGCCCCATAACCCATTTCGATTGTTCATTTGCACTGCACAGCTGCACAAGATTGGAATCCGGCATTTGCAATGTAGCTCATTGAAGTTGGTATTGCCAAGGTCATGATCTGCCTAGTACCTCAACGGCGTCGTCAGCTTGGCCAACCCGTCGCAACAGCCGGGGATCTGTGACTTCCGATGCCTCCTGTAAAGCAAGCGCGAAGGGGAAATCAGGCAAGCAGACTGTGGCAACGAAATCCCTTCTCGTGCAAGTTAGCACGGCCAGAAAATCGACATTGAAGGAATTTAATGATGCAAGCCGCTCCCTGACGACTGCCTTGAAAGATGCTGGCAAGGCAACCCGAGAGGCAACGGGAACCAATAATCAGAGCAGCAGTTGTCAAAGTTCAATTCCCTCAACATCCATCCTGGCAGGCTCTCTTGCTCTATCATCAGCTCGATGCGCCCGCTGCCAAGAATGACGAAGCTTTGCAGCTGGTCATCAGCAGACGTGACCTGGTGTCTCCGATGCACATGCAATATATCACACTTCTGTGGGGTTGCACCAAACAGTTGCATTTACCTTTGGTTGTGTTGTGACTCAAGTTGTGACACATTTCACTCTCGGGATGAGCCTTGATCCCAGGTTGAAGCCTTGCAGAGTGAGAAGACAACGAGCAAGGAGATGGGAACGATGTGGGAAAATGACGGCTACCTGTCGGAGACAGGAATCGACATTTCGAATGTCAAGCCGTATGCCGTTCTCGTCGAGGACCGCGTGGCCTTTGACTATGCAGGCAACAGCGACCTCCTCAACAACATGGTCGATTCGCATAAAGAATCGATTACTGCTCTGAGGAAGGCCGGGAAAGCCACCAGCGATGCTTCGAAGCAGTGGCTCTCCGGCAAAGGCGCTTTGCGGAAAGCGCAAGAGCTGGAACGCAAGGAGCCTAAACCCTAAGTTCCCTAAGCCCTAAACTCCCTAAACCCTAAACCGCCTAAACCGAAACCCTAAACCCCAAACCCTCAAGTCCCTCAAGGAGCATGCGAAAGAGGAGGCGCTGCCGACGGAACATGTGTCGTTCAGCAATCTTCAACTTTCAATTGGAGCTCCTAAATTTTATACAGCACGTCAGAAACTGAACTCAAGCCATCGCAACACCATAATAAAATAGGGACCCAAAAACACATAAGCATAATCATAAACATTTTATATGGATATCCCTACCTTATTGGGCTTCATGATAATGGGATTTAAATGGGATATCCCTATGTAGCCTATGTAAACTCCCTGTAACAGCGTCCCTGTACAGGCACGACTGAAGCGATTGGCAGAAAAGGATGCCAAGCAGGAGGCAAAAGAACAGGCTCGCGAAGCAGCTCAAAAGACTCAAAAGACAGACAAAGAAAAGAAAGAGAACGTCGCCGCCGCCGGTGAAGGCGACGAAGATACGAAGCCGACTAAGTCAAAGACGAGCCGGCTTGGGAGGGGAATGGCTTCGGAACTGACGGACACTGATCCGGCAGTGCTGCGGAACCGCCTCGACGCAATCGAGACCCTTGACACCAACGAAGTTGTGAAAGCTTTCGCATATGGAGCTCCAGCCCTTGTCAAGACAAAAGCACTCATCAAGAAGATTGTGACCCAGGTTTCGTTGTTTCAACTTTGCCTTGATTGTGTTGGATGTGAGTTGTGAGTGTGAGCATATTCTGACCCCTGAGCCTGGGCCCAGCGGTTCAGCCGGCGTCTCTGACAAGAATGGTGCTGCTGCTTTGAACATCTACAGATCGGCCATGACGGATTTCCAACATGCGTTGGCTGCAGACCTCGAGGCATATGGTTGCCAATATTGCCATCGTTGAATAGAACCTCATCAGTTCCACAAGTTCCAAGTTTGAAACATTCAACAAAAGATCTTGAACACTGAAATTTCTGAGCTTGCTTGATCACTGACAAGCAGTGCTTGTAGTCTTGTCGTCGTGTTGAAAGCTTGTGCTTATGTAATGTTGCGCCGTTCTGCCACACGGAGGCGCGAGCGGACAAGACCCGCCTACAGCAGCTGGTCGAGGATGCACCGCTTCCGGAAAAGATCTCATTGTCGAGCCAGATCGAGGCGATGGAGGAAGCGTTCCGACAGGCAAGCTGGCATTCTACAGGGTCGAATGGGCTTTAGAATCAGCTGCTTCAAGTCACTAAAATATGACACATATTTATGGGACAGTAACCCTACTTAAAGGCTCATGGGACTTAGTAAGTAAGGTTATAAGTAGGTTATAATTAGGATAACCCCACTTAGGGGACTTATAACCCCAATTATAACCTACTTACTAAGTCCCATGATCCTTCAAGTAGGTGTAAGCCTTAAAGACGGTTCTTGCTCATGTTTGTTGATGCTTTTGTTGCAGGAGCTGAAGGAAAGCGGAAAATCCGAAATTGAGGCCGTGCGAAGGCAGTTTGGAAACGGAAAGGATGTGTCCGATCGCTTGAAAACTTGCTTGGGTGATGATGCGATGGCCAAACTGTCTCAGATCGTGATCTCTGAGTGCAGGCAAAATAGCGTGTATTCAGGGCTCAACCCCGGCCCTGGCTTGGCATCCGTCCAATACCAACACTCGGGTGCTCGATTGATCAGCTTCGCAAATTACGCTGAATTGGTGGACATTTTTGAGACAAACACCTACAGCGATGTTCTTGCACGCTTCAGGAACATGACTTCGGAGGAAGCAGGTCAGATGGCAACGCTGAAACAGGCTTCTGTGCGACCAGGAGAGATGATTGTGTTAACAGATGGAATCCTGTACACCGAGAAAGCGCTCGCCGCACACTCTGTGTCGTTGAAGGTGAGGGATGACAAAAATCACGAGAGACGATACGAGAACATCGTTTAAGTTTAGGTAGATGCATCCGTATGTTGAGAATCTTCGAACTCTTTGCAAAACGATAAGACGAATACACATCGATAACCGAGACTAAGTCACTAAGTTAGTCAGACTAAGATTCCTAAGATGTGCTGATGTGTTACAAGGTGTTACATTTTGATCTCCCAAAGTCATCCAAAGTCCTTCAGAAGTAGAAGAGTAAACACAATAATAAGAACCAATTGCCGGGCGTGGGTTTTTCACACACCCCTCAGCTCAGGTACCCTCGTTCTTCGTGACGGTGCGTGGGATGCAAGGGCTACGGAGATTGTCCGATGTGTTCTCAGAGCATTTTGGCAAATATCTTCTGCGCTTCGGTCCATGCACTCATGCATCACACACAGTCGGCACGGCATGTCGACATGATTCATGATGTTCCATTCGAGGCAGAAGGTGCTGGCCGATCTATGCACGGTTGCCAAAGATCTTCTTTCTGAAATGCTGTGGATAGAGGACCATTCATGTCATGTGTGCTGGCAACTGGCATCGAACTCGAACAAGTCCAATGAGTCCAATGCTTCAAAAAAGAGGACCGTGCACATGATGCATCATCGTCCCCGGGACAATCGCACTCGTGCCGAGGGACGAGGTACGACAGTGTATGCTAGCGCTAGTATCCCTGTGGGAAACATCGAAGGTGTTTCGCTAGAAAACGTCGAAGGGGTTTTCCTCTGAAGCTAAACAGAACGAAGCTTGTCTGTTTGCTAGAGTGACTGCACATGGCCGGTGAAGCAGTGCTACTCCGTGGCCATTGTGCTGAAAGGCCCCCAGCTATTGGGGGGCAAATTTCGGGGGGTAGGAAGGGGAACAGGGCTAATTAGCCCTGCTTTGGGTGCGCTGCCATGTCGGACAGCGACGCTACCCTGGCGCCGACCACGCCAGGTGGTGCAGCTGCTACAGCCGCTGTGGTTGGGGATTCCCCGCCCCCGCTAAGTTCTTCGTGTCCCACTCAGGTCCCCGCAGAGCTATAGGGGGGGGCGACACCGCGGGGGCTCCCTCCGGGGAGGTACCCTCGTGGGTCCCGCAGACCCCTGCTAGCGACCCACAGTCCAAAGAGGCGGGAGTACTCTTCGAGGGCTGGGAGGTGGAGGCTGAGCTAGACGCGCAGGCGGTCCAGCAGGAACGTAGGCGCACGCTAGACAGGGCCTACCGGCACCTCTCCAGCCAAGGGTTTGGGGTCTTAGAGCTAGCTGTGGTGGACCTGGATGACGCGGAGGACGTCGCCACGAGAGCTAGGTATTCCTTACCAGCCGTGGCTATGGGATGGCGTTTACTGTTGGCTGCAGCAAGCACGGCAGGAAGCTACGGTCTACCAGAGGGTGCATGGCTACTTCCAGGACGACATCACCTGGATGCCACCGCTACCTGCTCCAAGAGAAGAGGTCGAAGAAGCTATGCGCCAGCCTCCGGTTCGGGGAGCGGAACCGAAAGGTGCTACAGCCCGGCACGATTAGTGCCGCTAGGGAAGAGCGACTGCTAGAAGTTTGGGCAAGGAAGCTCCGCGAGGAGCTGCTAGAGATACATGCCCCTGTTCTCGCTAAGCTGCATGGGAGCCTGGATCCCGTGAGGGCAGCTATGTTGCTCCCGGGGAAGACACGGGCTTCTACTTTGAAGCGCCAATGGCTCCACGCCGCTAAGCTCAGGCCGCCTCCGGGCACCGCCGCTGATTTGGTGGACTACCTCCTCGCTAGGAGCGATGAGCCTTGCGGCCGGTCGGTTCCGGAAGCTATTCTTAAGGCTATCTCCTGGATGGAGAAGGTGGCCGACTTCCCGGTCGAGCTACGGACCACCTTTGGTCGCCTGGTCTGGGCCGCTAAGGACAGCATAGTGGAGCAGCTAGCGGAGGGAGCCCCCTTGATCAAGAGGGCGCCACGCTACCCCGTCTACATGCTGGTGCAGTGGTGATCAACCCCGCCCTGGCGGTGGGCTGGGCCTGGGCTAAGTTGGTCAAGGTCTGGGCCACGCTAAGATGGTCGGACCTTCAGGCTATCCTGCCGGCCGAGCTATTGATGGTGGAGGGGCGCCTCACCACCATCCTCCGGAAGACAAAGACTTCCGGTGCTACGAGAAGGGTCAAGGAGCTACCGGTCGTGGTGTCGGAGCACGCCTTTCTGGTCGCTAAGAGCTGGCTGGTGACCGGCTTCGATCTCCTGAAGGCCCACGCTAACTACGCCCGGGACTACCTCATGCCGCGGCTGGGCCGGGCGGGGCAGCTAGAGAAGAAGATGGCTACCTATGCGGACGCTATGCTGGCAACTGCGGGGCTGTTGGCTATCATGGGCTACCCCCGGGAGGTCCAGGGCTATTGGACGGAGCACAGTGAGCGCTCGGTGCTACCAACAGGTTTGGCGCTAAAGGAGATCCCACCGCAGGATAAGGATCTGCTAGGGCGTTGGAAACCCGAGGGGTCCGACGTGTACGCTAGGTCCTTTGCGGGTAGGGTGTCCCGTCTCCAAGCTCTCTTCGCTAAGACAGCTGGGACGACCGCTACGAAGCGCTCGACGAGCGTGAAATTGCCGCGGACCTCGAGCCCTGGCTGGAAGAAAGGGCAAAGCTAACCCACAGCCAGGCTATCCATATGGCGGCACGGCTGCGGAAGATCTGGATGGAGGGCCTGCTAGGAGTCCCGACCGAGGCGGAGGAGCTAGAGGTTCCCGAGGAACCGGACGAGCCCGCGGATCCGCTAGTGGCCGGGAGCAGCTCCGAGGCTTCTGCGGAGGTCATGGAACGGCCTGCTAAGAAGCAGGCCAGGGTTCCTGACAGCAGCCAGGGCAGCTATGTAATCGTAGAGGTCCCAGGCGCCATTTTCCGCTTGCACAAAGCGGGTGCTACAGGATGTTGGATGGGGAAGCGCCGTGCTTTCCGCAACGCTAGGGTTCTTGATTCGGTTCCGGGGCCGCACGAGTACACACATGTGTGTAAGCTATGCTGGCCGAACCAAGGGGCTATCTCCGAAGGAGACGCTAGCGAAGGATCGCTCGCTAACTCGGAAGATGACGAGGCCCCGGAGGATCTGGCACAGGGGTCAGCTAGCAGTCATCCTTGAGCGCAGGGCGTGCTAAGCCGCCGAACTCGCACTCGCACCAAGGCTAGAAAGACTGCTAGGTCGGAACCGCATGTCCTCCCCTCTCTGCCTCTCTTCTCTCTCTTCCTTCCTCGCTTGCGAAACGCCGCTAGACTTTTGAAGGGGGTGTGCTAGGGGGGGGGGGGACCTTTCGGGGGCGGGGGGGCGGGGGGAGGGGGGGGCGGGAGAAAGAAGAGAGTGGAGGGAACCACGTTCTTGCTACATGTCACTTGCTGTTTTGCCTGTGTGTTGTGCTTTCGTGTTCCGCTAGTGCGCTGCAGGAGGAGCAAGGAGCGGAGGCAGGCGCTAGGAAACTGGGGCCGGGCGACCCTACAGGAGCGAGGAGAGGAGCCAGTGCTTGCGCTAGGTCCGTCCTGCAGGAAGGAGCTAAGGAGCGGAGGAAGGCGCTACGAAACGTGCGGGTTTTGGACCCCGCTAGGCAACAGGGCAACAAAGGAGCTAGGCGCAGGAGCCAGTGACTGTGCTAAACCTCCCTCAGGAAAGGGCAAAGACGCCCGAGCGACTTCGCCCCAGGGCAAGGGGGCCGCAGACGGCCCCGCTACGGCCGAAGGGCCCGCTAGTGGAGACTACCTGCCGGAGACCCTCCGCGGTCTGCGGAAGGCGCTACGGTTTCGGCCGTGGAGTGCACCGACGGGCACCGCTATCTCGACAAGCCTCTGCTACAGGAGCTGATCGCTATGTCCCACGAGGCGATCGAGAAGCTAGACAAAGAGGCCCCGCCCCGGAAATGGCTAGGGGCCGGGGTCCGCCAACAGAGCCCGCTGACATGATGGGCCAAAAAAGTTCTGTCAGCTACTAGCTGGGCCGACCTGTCCCAGGAGGACATCGCTAGCTTGGATGCCGCTATGTCCGCGGGCCTCACCCAGAGGTTCGCCGCTACAGAGGCCGCCGCTGCAGCAGCAAAGGCCCAGCTAGACCAGCTTGCCGCAGCCAATGCGGCCGCTAGCGCTGCGAAGGCCAAGGCCCGCAAGGAGGCGGAGGCCATAGCCGCTAAGCTGGCGCTAGAGAAGAAGGTCGCAGCGGCCGCGCTAGAACAGAAGAAGAAAGAGGCCGCAGAGCGGCTCGCTGAGGAGGAGCAGGCCGCCGAGCTGGAGTACCAGCAGGCGGTGGCCGCTAGCAAAGCCTCCCTGCAAGCGGCAGAGGAGGCTGCTAACAGAGATCCCACCGCTACGGGCAGCACCGACCCTGCACCTGCTGTCGCTATTGCAGCCGCTACGGCGGCACCTGCTGCCACAGCTGCAACCGCTACCGGACCCTACGCCGGCTGAGTCTGCCGCCAGGAGGTTCATGGAAATCGGGCCCCTCGTTCCCTCGGGCCGCTAGCCCTGGCCGAGGCCGAGGCGAGAAGGGCAAGGGAAAGGCCCAGCCGGCCGCTACAATCAATGTGTTCGACTACACGTGGAACACGCTATTCGAGGATCCGGACCGCTACCTCGAGCTGCTACGCCGCGAGCTCCAGCAGGACCGCGCTATCGAGCAGGCGGGGGGCATGCCCGCCAACGTCCGGGACGCTAAGGGGACACCGGTGAGTGTTGCGCTAAAGGGCAGAGCCAGACCCCCGCCGGGAGCCCACGCTAACAGCCTTCCCAAAGGGAAGAGCTACTGGTACCTCGAGCTATCGTGGCCCAGTGTCGACCGCGATCTCTGGCCGCTAGGTTCGTGGGACCAACGCTACGAGAAGGGGAAGGGCAAGGGGCCCAACCCCCGCTATGGCAAAGGAGATGACAACGCGCCATTGAAGAATGCTATCCACAATGGAGAGCATCTCTACACGCTAGGCCGGGAGGATGTGGCACTGATGTGCCGCTACGTCCACCCGCCCGCTAACACCCCCCAGGGGGAGAGAGCTAGCGAGCTGCTAGCCATGCTATATTGCCAAGCTGCT